AGTACACTAAGGTATTTCTATGAATTTTTATTCCCACTTTCCACAAAATATCTACACCTACGGAGGAAAAATCCTGTTATATATATATATATATATATATATATTTCCGTAACGCGGGCGGCGCATGTATTTCCCAAAACTCGCAAAAGCCTAAACCCGTCGCATTTTAGCAGTTTAATCGATATCAGTCTGCTTGCCTATACGGTAATGAGGATGAGATCATTCAACTTCATCATATCACACAACCTTATTTCTTGATGACATCTTCTTGCTTGAGCTACGCCCTTCTTACCCAAAATACCAACAAACACACCTAGATGTCTCCAAGAAAGTTAGATTCATGCGCCCAACAAAACATCTCCTAATTGGCAAGCCCTATTACCATGTAGGGTGATCTTTGAGTTAATAATTAACATTGCGCTATCCGAGCAGAGTCTCTGCCTTTCTGTATGCAGATCGATAAATGTCAACGAGCAGTTGTGGTTAGAAGCAAGAGGGATACCCGTTAGATTGTGTCACGAATTCAGTAAAATCCTGTTAGAGTCACGAGTTCTTCGGTGTTTCAATTTTGGAGGTTTCCAGCTGTGCGCAATCATAAACACACAGCAGACCCCACTTCAGTTTCGACGGACGGGATTCCTAGAACTTGATAACTCGTCGAACACTGCCTTCTAAGGCAGACTTTCAAGGATTTGGAATCATCGCTATCCTGGACAACTTACCGCAACTCTGGCATATCTGTAGATCACTCCGTACCTTGACTGTGAGCGGAATGAGTGCATGGGTGAATTAAAACATTACCTTGCAATAAGGACGGTTACTGTCTTTTTCGATGGGTTTGAAGAAGCAAGCTCCTCGCCAAGAAGAATATTACGCTGATGAAGTGGGTCTGATTGAGGATTTGATAACTCAGGGTGCTGTTCCGCTGTCAACTTGCTGCTCACCAGTCTCAGTCAACCTGCATACCTCCGATGTCATTGTTAAATTTGGCACCAGTACGTTGTACGTCAAAGGAAATTAGCAATCGGAACGAACATTTCCAGGTCCCAACGGTCATTGGCTCGAATGTTTCATTACCTACCAGCTGCACTGTTCTTATTGCAGACTGAACCGAATTGCAATGAAACTGAGTTTATAATACGATTGATTTTCCACCCAGTTCAAGCCGTCAGTGAATACAAGAAGACTCCATGTTAAGGCATCTTGGCATTTACGAACTCCTTCATTTTCCCGTAGATGTTTGAAAACAACAAGTCTGCTCTTAAGGAACTGAACTGCTCTGACTTAATCACTGCCGTGCAAATAATAACCACGTGTTATTTATACACAACCTCGAGTGGGCTACGGACAAATGCGTCGTGGTGAACAAACGTTCGACCCCAACAGAAAAGGCGCACATGAGTTTTCAATGATCTTGCAAACCACACGCGTGGTCTTCCAATGGACGGCTGCGGATTTACAACCGGTGTTTCTAGATATCATCTATGAACATTCGTTCCTCCAGTTCAAAGTCCAAATCGAACGGTATGGGAAAATTTATTCCGTGTACTGTTTGAAGTGAACGACTCCGTTTAGGCGGTAAAACAGAACTCATGAACCCTAATGTTGATCATATCCAAACAGCTATAGAACAGCTAGTTTCCGGTTTCAGAGCATCCAGACACTCAGAGAAATAGATACGCTTCAGGTGGGAAGCTAATTAAAATCCATTGAAACTCCAGAAACTATCAGTGCGTAACTTGTAGTAGAAAATTCAAGTTTATAGGTCCAAGCGTTATTCCATAGAACGTAGAGGGCGAAACTGTGACAGTTGCAGAGAGAAATTCTTGGCTTCATCTCATCATGCATTTGTTTGCGTTTCATGAGAAAGAAGGCACGAAATGTTGATTTCCCTTTGAAATGACCAGCAGATTTGTTAGCCAGAACTAAACTTTAGCGTGAATTCTGCACGCGGGATGTGATGTGTGTTAAAGTTGTCTAAATATTCGACGGATACACCGCGGCGTATTGTGCTGGTGGTTAAAGCCACCAGCTCTGAATTCTAGCTTTGACGTTATTCAAAACATCATAAAGAAGTGTACAAATGTTAGCAATGTTGTGGAATGTAGGTGTTATTAGTAAACTTGTTAATAATAAAGCGTGGTTCAAAAAGCAGTCATCTCCGACAGTTTAGACGAGGAATTTTTTACGATCACTCATTTGTCGCGTTCTGTATGAAGGTCTTGCCCTTGATTAGACGAGTGACATTTCTTTTATTTCGCGGACAAAGGTGAAACGCAATTTGTCACCTTTGGCTTGCAGTTACCAAGTGGGGTTTGACACATTTGGGCTGTCACCCGCGTGAGATCACCCTTTACCCGTTTCTGCAACGTTGACCGACACTTCGCTCTGTCTTAGTTTGCCATGTCGATTGACACCTTTAGGGGGGCGCAGCGATTCTGTACAGTAGAACAGTCAGGAGAATCAGGGTGAGTCATTTCACATTCGATCAGCTGACTCATTAAACCGGGCTAACTGGCCGGTATGGGTAACTAAATAGCACGAAGCCCCTTTGAATAAGGTCATCGGGAGCCACAAATTCGAACCGATGGAGGCCGGAGCCAGGGTTCCATGCTTCAGTGATCACAGAATGGAGAAGTGGGAGTCTAAGCCAAAGTTGTGCTCGACGAGGTCGAAATTTGCAGATGACTTCCTTCTAAAATTTGTGAAATGACAAACCGTCCGATAAACTCTCATCATCATTTAATCCTCAAGAACGAACAAAACATACAAATCCATCCCCTCTCCAATGTTTTATCATCGATTCCATTGTCTCTGATGATGACCATGGCAAAAATTACTCTGATGATGATGAAGGTAAGGTAAGTTAGAACACTCCCACTGATAAGATCCTAGTTGGTTTGGCAATCAAAGCTAACCTGTTTGTCCCTCCGTTACAATTTATTATTCGGCAGAATTGTACCGCACCTTGCGCAATACGTGACTTCAGAATTCGAAGATTTTTTCGAATTGAATAGTTTCCTAATTTTGCATAATATGTTTAGGTCATTAAACTACCGAATTTGACGTTCAATACACGGATCAAATTCATCTCATTCTCTAGATTGAAATTGTAATGAAAGTAGAGAGAGTGGATCTTGTCTTCTGACTGCAACTGTGTGGTTCCTTCTCATTTCCAGTATGTCGTTTTACTAACCTGGCGCGGATTTGTGGTGTCGTTGCATTTGATTCGGCGAATCGAGTGATTTGCAATATTCCCCTTCAGTCGCGAAGCCAAGTATCTCGGCGCGGGTGTCGATTTGTTGGATGTTAGAATTGATGGTGGTTGTGGTAGCCTTGTGTCTGATTACATTTATATTCTACGATCGGGTGGTTCGATAGCTGGACATGATTTTGTTAATTCCTCTCAGTTGTCCCGGGTTGCTCTCAGTGGGATCTTCAGAGCATAGGTCATGAAAATCAAGTTGTTCATGAGACCGTTGTGTCTTGAATTTATTGACTATACCCGAAACAAAAATCCTGCTAATGAGTTGATGAAATGGTGGAGTAACTCGCTCTCCCTTTGGCCTTTACCTAGGGTATTTGCCACCCGCTACTTTCAGCTCATTTGGAATTGCTTCCTGATGATGTTACCCTTAAAATATTTATCGCATAATATAGAAAATTCTGAAGTGGCTATAATATCTTCAATACATTTGATTTTCGCCCCAAGAAATTGCGGCGTGTACTATCAGCTGCAAGTCAAATTACACAAATCATGACAGAGAGCCACCAGGCCCTTGGTTGTAGACGTACTCGGAGTCGATTAACGTTGCCACCAACTGGCGAAGATGTCAACCCGGGAACTTCGTAGTTCATAGATAAAATTGGACAATTTATTGGAGGAAAGCTCGTTGTTTGATTGCGGATTAAAACGCTGAGCTCCGGAGAGGTGATTTTAAATGATGGAACCGTCGTTTGAAGCACGTTTGAAGATCATGCTAGGTTTCACCACCCTCTGTACTGGTTATATAATTATTAATTACTCTTCTTCGCAATCATCATTTCAAACTCCAGATACGATGGGGCTGATAATTAATGTGAGAAATTTCGCGGTATTCCTCTTTGCTAGCAGTGCACTCTCTGAACAGACAATTTACTTTTGAAGTCAACACATTTGATTGTGATCAGCCTACAAGAGGATGGGATTTCGTTGCATCCGCACCAAGTAGAACACTATTTGTCGTAGTGTAGAGAGAAGGCGTTCTTTTTAGACAACATTATCATTTTCGATGATAACACTAGTGAAGCGCTGCTGGGAAGCGATGCTGTTTTATTTGAATAAAGCCCAATGAATTGGATCACGGAGGGTTACCAACGAGTAGCGAGCAATAAACTGACCAAGACCATTAATTAGAAAATCTTGATAGAAAATAGCACAATGGAACCCACTGATACACGTTAGCCGAACAATGTCCTTCCGTGCGTGAAATCGATTTCAAAGGCGTTGCTCACCTATGTTCTTAAATGCAATTTGCCCTAATTCAGCAAGCAAGCAGTTAAAGTTTATTCACATAGGAACGATGTGTAATGTTCCATTTGGCGCTGTGGTTATTGGAACATCTCGGAATACTCACTAATTTTTCTTTTCCGAATTTGTTATACAGTAAGTTTAGTCAAGAAGTGACATTACGCAGGTCATATCCTCGAACAGATTCTGCTTCATCCGTTGTAATGATTGTGCTATGATTGCGGTTAAGGGCATAGAATAAAATATTTTCCCACGAAGCAGCAAGACATAAGATGGGCGGTATCTCCTCCAGAAGTATATTTCCAGTGTACATTCCTACTTGCTCACCAGGAGGTCAAGTGATGTATGGTGCGGACGGGCCTCGAAACCTTTCCGCCCGACAGTCCCCGTCACTTATGCGGAAAAAAAGGACATTGCTGGTTTTAAAGTGTCCTGTGCAGCACGGTACACTGAGTGTCTAGTTGTTGTGTTAATGCTGACGGATAGTTTATGGGGTCTTAAAGTTTTTTTCGGTACCACATGATCATTAATGGTGTCTTACGGCGTCACTTGATTCGCGACAATGTGGCTGGCTGTAAATCAAACTGAGAGCATCCTTTACAAACAGATGCAATGGCTCGGTCATATTTCATCGTCCGCCAAGTCGACTGTTGTTCTCCGTTTTCCCATCCAGTCCAACGTAAAGAAGCACATGTGTCTCTGCGCAGACGTTTTTGTGACCACATTCAGATGTTCAACGCCTCGGTTGGCTTCAAAAACCCTTCCCTAAGGCCAGTCAACTATAGATTATTCTCTTAGATAAGCTTACGCTTTGGATGTCTATATAAAAACGTAGGTGAACACATTTCCTTTGTAGCTGATGGACTCGGATGCACAGGGCATTCTACTCTTAGGCATGACCAGGAAACACAGCAATAACTATCTTTCATGGTAGCCTGTATTTAGGGGAGGTAATCTGAACATTCAACCATCAAATTTTCCGATGAGCATTATACCAAATTTACTTATATTGTCTTATATTCTCTGAATAATCAAGTAACTCAGTCGAGATTATCTTTTGGGATACTGGTTGGTTTATTCAACGTACCAGTCCCCAACGTTAAACTGAGGGTTCAATTAATCAGTTTACAGACTAGCGTTAACCTGAACAGGTGCGCATATACACAAATTTCAAGGAGGATTTCGTTTCGAGACTATATTTAGGTTGTTGAAGCCACTCACGTATACCAGCTGAAGCCCAATACTGCGGTTTCACTGTTTTTGGTCCTGGGTAGCTTATTGGTCGCCTCCCAATCTCTCATCTGGAAAACTCGTTGGATGCACATTTGCTCTCCGGGAATTTATGAACGGCTGTCATTCAACTTCAACCCAGTATTGTTCACTCTATCGAAACTACGAAAAATGAGAGGCGCTTCCTCAATACATTGCCGGGTTTCAGCACAGAGGCTGCCAGAATATGAAGCTAGCATTGGCAGCTCTTGAGAGCCGTCAATGATGTTGAAACCTGGACATCCTCTGACCCACCTAAGTCACGAAATATGTCAACAGTTGCGTGCAGTTAGCGCCATGTTAAAGGAAGTCTGAATAGCTCGGTAGAATTGCTCCTAAAATTATTCCTTTCTACATATTTTACCATCACAACCATACTACTGATAATTTGGCTGACATCCAGCGGGTTATCTAGGCTTCAATTTATCTACCTATTTGATTTCATCTGGACGTTAGAGATGTCAATATTTGGTCTATAGAGATGGATGCATTTTTGGAAGTTTTATACAAATTCATGTCTGAGTATCTAATTCTCTCCCACTGGCGTGAAGTGTTCCCCTACTCCTTGTCACGAATATGGGTGAAGTTAACAAAATACCCTACTACAGTCCGATTCACTAGTTCCCTAACACTCCTCAATGTGGTGCCTTCCCGACATGTGCGCCACAAGTTCCGTTAAGCAGCCTGGGCATTGACCTCACGTGTTTTGCAACAGTTAGAACTTAGGGACTTTACTAGCATGTAGAATGGTCAACAACCCCAAAGTGTACTTTGTAGGTGGTATTAATAGAGACTACATGTTCAAGAGAGTGACCCTATGGCTGATATGCACAACAAACGTGACAAAGAAGGAAGCCACTTCAGTAATCCATCGACTAACGTTTATAGCCTCCTTTAATCCCCAAGAAACCCAAAGATGTCTGCATACTTCACTCGGACACGATGCTGGTAGGTGGTATTTAAAGATGTCAACGCCTTCTTCTTAGTATCATCGTGATCAAGAATTGAATGAATGCAGACGTGGAGAGTAGCAGTCATTTGAACTAATACCTCTCGCCCTGACGGCATCCAGTGTAACCACACATAAATAAATGCCTGAAAATGCAAACTGTCTATTACACGTTCAAACTTTCAAAGCATTTATAGCTCAGTACATATGCACATAGAACATTGTGTCGTGGAAGAACACATGGCAAGCCCGCTGGTGGTGGATGCCTAATGGGTCGTTTGAGCCTTCGAATGGGAGTGAGAATGTGGTACATTCAAGATCTACCAAACCAAAATACCGCTTGCTTGTCTGGTGCAAACGCTTCGCGAGCAATTGCAATGCAATAGAGGGGAAGCTGCACCAGCAGTCTCGTGAAAACTGAGGTCAAGCATTTCCCTCTTAGGTTGTCAGATTCATTAAGAGCCTTGTTTAATTATGGCCGAGACTAAATGTTTACAATGATCTTCGAGAATCTCTCTGTCAAAAGTGAAGGCAAAAAAGATTCATACGCGGAGGAAGATTAGACAAAATTAGAGATAAAATGGTTATGAAAACAAACGGCACGGACTTTGTTTCCGTTCGATAGTGTACCAAATATCATAACAACAAAGCGGCATTAATGGACATGCACGTCACGCACTTCATCCATTCGCATTCGTTTCATTTCCGTCCGTACCAAATTAATGGCATTAATGGACGTGCATGTCACGCACTTCATCCATTCGCATTCGTTTACTTCTCTGGAAAGGGGTGCCTCATTGGCCTCCCCGTAAAAGTACAACTGTACACTGCTCCACAGCAAATGCTGTCATGCCATGGCGGCTATCGCCTACAGCCTGAAAGAAGCACGAGTTTACGAGGATATCATCGCATTATTACCAGAGAGAGCGACATGAAAGTTAAAATAATGGTTCACTCCGGATGT